TCTTTTCTCCTCTTCAGAAAGAAAGGTTGAAAATGTTGATAGTTCCGAAATTTGAGAATCGCCAAGTCAGTTTATAATGGTCGCCAATTTTGCGACTTGTAGAAAATTTTAGGCGTCAATCAAATATTTTAAGCCCCACGGCGACTAAATTAGTCGCCAATTAGAGCCCTGAGGACTAAGGTTTGTTTTTCTTGCTATTAAATGAATGAGTCAACCATTGTTTCGTACATGTTCTCAATAGTTAGATAGATGAATATGAGAGAGAGAGAGAAATTTTCACGGTATGGAAAAATCATAATTGCTTCCTTTTCCTTAAGACAAATGCGATACTCTGTCACATTTCGACCCCTACATCTACCGTATTCTGAATTCTATTGTCTCTATATTTTTTTGAAGATTTTTTCTTTTGAAAGGGGAAAAAAATCATGAAATTCAATTGATTTCTTTGACTACTTTGATTAACTAAGTAGAAAATTAACTAAAGTAGTCAAAGAAATCAATTGAATTTCATGATTTTTCCCCTTTCAAAAAAAAATCTCTAAAAAAATATAGAGACAATAGAATTCAGAATATTAAGGTAAAATAAAATACAATTTGAAAAAAGTTGATGACCCCCATACAATTCCCCAAACTGACGTTCTGCACGTCTAGTTGACTCGTGTCAGGTGCAGGACTAACCCTCAAATCACAAGCAACTATGGTGTCCATAAGATTCTTAAATTTCTGTAACACAAAAATGGCCCACACACAGTTTATCACATCCCACCCCGACCCTTATCAAATGAAAATGATCTGATTGACACAGCATTAGGTTTTAAGTAAACTCTGTGTCTAGTTAGATTCTTCTCTCTGATACAGCTATGGCTCACACCAGAATTCCAACATTTTTCTCCTTGTGACCTTGTCTAAATAATACCTGATAAAAGTCATAACACAAAATATTTTCTCTGGAGACTGTGTTCAAGTAATACCAGGTCAAGGTCATGACAAACCCATGGTCATGTCCATCTCTGTGTAAGATATAAGCAGAAGCCATATAAATGCTTTTTTCAAAGTTATGGCCATGACATGGCAATCCCTCCTCATAACATAAACAGACAGACAAGGCAATTCCTATATACCAGGGCCAAGCTTAAAAAATTCTTGGTTTGCAGTTGTCAACCTAAATTTTTAGAATGGGCGGTATTTTTTTTATTTTTCTAAAAAAATGTAGTTTTCAAATATGTTTTAACAAACAAAAATAGGCTTACTTAACATAAGCTCCTCTTGTTATAAGTCGCTGATTGATAATACCAAAAATCGAAAATGAAACATGCAGTTTCACTATCCTGAAAGCTTGAAGCTTAAAAAAAATAATACAAAATAGCTGGAAAAAGTTTGGGTCAGGTGCATTTTCAGTGGGTCGCTAGGCAGCTGAAAAAAATTATTTTAGACCCAGGCTCTTCATTTGCAGGGGTAAGATAACACTGATAAGGTAACACTTTTATCAGTTAAAGATTATGTATTTATTTCTCAAAGTGAGGAAAACACACATAATAGTATTCACAATCAAGTACTTTACAACAGTGACCCACAAACACGAACAGACAAATATCTATATCATATATTTAAACTGATACTGATCCAAAAACCATAATCAGACACATTCTAAAACAAAAAATCTTAAAACAGTGAATCACATTCTATGAAAGTAATGATTACTCAGTGATCAAGAAACCATAAACACATGCATAATTGAACTGCCATAACCAAACTTCTACAATGTTTTGAACAAACATTCTATGACAGTGACCCACAATCCATGAACAGACACATACATGTATATATGACAGTGTTCAACAAAGCATGAACATTTTCATATATATGTATGCATATACACAAATGTCTTTACTCAAAGGCACAAAAAGTCATGAACAAACTACAGGAAAAATGTTAGAACAAACAATCTATGACAGTGACCCACAACCCATGAACAGACACAAACACTTATATATGACAGTGATCAACAAACCATGAACATTTTCATATATATGTATTCATGTACACAACTGTCTTAACTCAAAGACACAAAAAAAGTCATGAACAAACTACAGGCAAAATATGAGAACAAACAACCTACGACAATGACCTACAATCCATGATAGAACAAACAATCTATGACAGTGACCCACAATCCATGAACAGACTCATACATGTATATATATGACAGTGATCCACAAACTATGAACTTTTCATATATGTATGCATATACATAAATGTCTTTACTCGAGGACACAAAAAGTCATGAACAAACTACAGGAAAAATGATAGAACAAACAATATATGACAGTGACCCACAATCCATGAACAGACACAAACACTTATATATGACAGTGATCAACAAACCATAAACATTTTTATATATATGTACGCATATACACAAATGTCTTTACTCAAAGGCACAAAAAGTCATGAACAAAATAAAGGAAAAATGTTAGAACACACAATCTATGACAGTGACCCACAAACCATGAACAGACACATACATGTATATATGACAGTGTTCAACAAAGCATGAACATTTTCATATATATGTATTCATGTACACAACTGTCTTAACTCAAAGACACAAAAAAGTCATGAACAAACTACAGGCAAAATATTAGGACAACCTATGACAATGACCTACAATCCATGATAGAACAAACAATCTATGACAGTGACCCACAATCCATGAACAGACACATACATGTATATATATGACAGTGATCCCCAAACTATGAACATTTTCATATATGTATGCATATACACAAATGTCTTTACTCGGGGACACAAAAAGTCATGAACAAACTACAGGAAAAATGATGGAACAAACAATATATGACAGTGACCCACAATCCATGAACAGACACAAACACTTATATATATATGACAGTGATCCAATAACCATGAACATTTTCATATATATGTATGCATGTACACAACTGTCTTAACTCAATGACACAAAAAAGTCATGAACAAACTACAGGTAAAATATTACAACAAACATTCTATGACAGTGACCCATAACCCATGAACAGACACATACACGTATATATGACAGTGAACAACAAACCATGAACATTTTCATATATATGTATGCATATACACAAATGTCTTAACTCAAGGACACAAAAAGTCATGAACAAACTACAGGAAAAATGTTAGAACAAACAATCTATGACAGTGACCCACAACCCATGAACAGACACAAACACTTATATATGACAGTGATCAACAAAGCATGAACATTTTCATATATATGTATGCATGTACACAACTGTCTTAACCCAAAGACACAAAAAGGTCATGAACAAACTACAGGCAAAATATTAGAACAAACAACCTATGACAATGACCTACAATCCATGATAGAACAAACAATCTATGACAGTGACCCACAATCCATGAACAGACACATACATGTATATATATGACAGTGATCCACAAACTATGAACATTTTTATATATATGTATGCCTATACACAAATGTCTTAACTCAAAGACACAAAAAGTCATGAACAAACTACAGGAAAAATGTAAGAACAAACAATATATGACAGTGACCCACAACCCATGAACAGACACAAACACTTATTTACATGACAGTGATCAACAAACCATGAACATTTTCATATATATGTATGCATATACACAAATGTCTATACACAAAGACATAAAAAAGTCATGAACAAACTACAGGAAAAATGCAAGAACAAACAATCTATGACAGTGACCCACAATCCACCATGAACAGACACATGCATGTAAATATGACAGTAATCCACAAACCACATATACATGTATGCATATACACAAATGATACAAAAATACATAAACAAACTACAGAAAAAAAATTGTAAAATGTTAGAACAATAAATAACCGTGACCCACAATCCAAGAGGTTGAACCGATATGACAATGACCCACAATCTATACACAAACTATGGGACAACCAATATACCAATATATAGAAATATTTACCTCCTGGAGAATATTGATATACAATTCAAGCTTTGATACTATAATTAACAAGCATTTTGACAATCTAAAAATAAATTATTAAATTTTAGAACTAAGATTTGATTTTATTAACTTTGTTAGTGTAAAAATCCTTCAAAAAATCACACAAAATACGAAATCTGATGTACAGGTTCTAGACAGACATTACTTGAAAAATTGATGTCACTTTATAATTCTTTTTTTCCTATAGAATAGATATATATTTTATCACCTCTGGCTTGTGAACATGACTGTTTAGTCTTTATTTATCATTTATTGCATAAATATTTACATTTCCAATGTCTTTGTCCGAGATAAAATTACAAATTGTAAAAATACTTTATTTCTACATAAATCTACTAGTTCATCGATAGGCGCGGTTAAAAAAAAAATCACGTGCGGGGCGGGACAAATAGAGACAGAAGCGGGGCTATTAGCATGGGAATTTGCAGAATCAGGAGCATGTAAATATAAGGAATAACTATCAGGTTTTTTGGATTCATGACGATGATCAATCGATTGGCTTGCGTGATAATTTTATGCATAAACGCCTTCGGCGTTTATGCAAATTATCACGCAAGCCACTCGATTGATCACATCATGAATCCAAAAAATAAGACAGTTAGCTTTAAATGGGTTTTAATAAAAAACATAATTTCACCACGCGAATTTAATTTCTTGTTCGTCGCACATCTGGTGAAAAAAGTAAGAGCGGGCAAGAGATTAAATAATAATATTATTACTTTTTTGTACGCAAAATTTTTAGGCATAACATGAAAAAAATTGAGTGACAATTATATTTTTTCTACTTTTTTCTGATTTGTAGAGTAAACAGATTTAAATTACCAAAAAATAGAGCGGAAATAAAACAGAAACTGGCACAGAATTTCCCAGGTGCAGGAGATTTAAATTAATATTATTTGTATAGCTTTGTTCAAATAACAGCGTGCGGGTCCGACAAGCAAAACATTAAATTGGAATGGCCTTTGTATTTGATTTTATTTATGAAAATTGATAATGGCACATGTCACATATTCACATCAAAACTTATCACATTATCACTTTTGGAATTGCAAAGCAGTGTATCAACAGACTTTTCATATTTGAAACTAATTATTTTTTTTTCTGCATAATAAAGCATAATTCAAAATGTACCGGTAGTATTTTCAGATTAAGATGGACTTAACTGTAGAAAAAGACAGTTTTATATTCAGTCCACATATCAGCTTCAGAGCAAATAATTAACCACACACACATGAACACCATTAGGGTCTTGGCTTATCTGCGGAAAAAGTTTATATTCTGCAAAATGGTCTTCACTGGTTTGTGGAACATGTGCAAGTTTTCCATCAGGGTCTGCCTCAATAATCCACTCTAAGGAACATGCAAAGAAGAACTGACAATGTAATATAAGTTATGCTACAAGTCTTGTATTGAAATTTCCTCCTATATTTCAGAAGAGTTACACATACCTGTACTAAATTGCCTAAGCTGTTGAACATAAGAATTTACAAGGTCCTGACTAGTCTGTACAATCTGTGGAACATGTAGAAATGCTGCAACAGGGTTTGCCTCCAAAATGCTTCCTATAATATATGTGCAAAACAAAATTAATTGTGATTATATTTATGCCTACAACTACATTCAGATACCTTTAATGTATGCTATTTCGATGCATTTTGAATAGAAATTTAACATGCTATTAAATAAATGTTCTTAACATAAAATAAATTAATAAAAAATATCAAATAAACTAATTGTTTTTTTATATAACACTAAACAGCAAGGGCAATGGTCACCCAGGTGTAAATTGTACAATCAACTGAGAAGTCCTATTAGGTAGACCCTAATTGTAAGGACCATTATGACAATTTATCAAAGGATCTTGGATCAGGCTAAACAAGAAATATACTAAACTTCAAAGTTCGCAGAAATGTTCTTTCTATAAATATCTACTTGATGGGTTTTACCTACCGTATTATTTAAGAAATTCAATTCTGACTAAGTTTCAAAAATGTATATCAAAGTTAAGATTATCTTCACACCTTTTAGCTATTGAAACTGGATATAATAAAGCAAACAGATCCCACTGGAAATGTTTTTTTGTGTCATACTTGTGTCGAGGATGAATATCACATTCTACTAGTATGTCCTGTTTATCGAGATTATCAATGCAAATTATTTCTTTTTAAAAAAAATATCCATACGTATAAATTACTGCAATTGTTCAATACTAAGAACTTTAAGGATATGTGTAACCTAGGTAAATATATTTATTATAGCATGAGGCAAAGAGGTGATCCTGTACATATAATCAAATATCAGCTGTCTCATTTAAAGTCATCATTTTGTAAGTTCTATGGTCGATACAATGACCTTGTCAGCAAATACAATTTATCATTGAGTCAAATGCTGACTGACGTTTTTCATACTAATTGTTAGACCATTATTTACACACTGAATTGTCGACGGATTTTTCCGTTATTTCCCAATCATGACAAGGAGCACATGGCGGGTGTGACCGGTCGGCAGGGGATGCTCACTCCTCCATGGCACCTGATCCCACCTCTGATGTTTGGAGGTCCGTGTTTGCTCTGCTCCTATTTTGTATTGTATAATGGACTTTTGAGCTTGAATACTGTTCGTTATCTCCATATATTTCATATCAAGGTGATCTTGTAATCCAATAATAATAATCACTCTAACCTTGTCTTAGAGGTATTATTTTCAATAATTTACTTTATTTAGGCCAAAAAAAAATAATAGTCTTGTTTTTTTTAAATTTTGGAAGAAAAAAATCTCGAATTTCCGGAATTTCATCGTTCTGTCACCATAATCGTTTTCTGTGTTAACACAAAACAAGCATTTCATGAAATTCTTGTTTTAAATGTGGACTTTCATAGAATACCACTTGAGTTTAGTCAAAAGACATGAAATTTGATTTTAAAAGACAATATTGACCTGTGACATGTTTAATTTTATCTTTTATTAGTTCATATCCAAAAAATGTTGTCGAAAAAAAAAAATAAAATGAAAATATACAATAAAATAATTTTCCTACCTACCTACCCTATTTTTTTTTTCAGGCTGGTAGCAGGAAACAAGACTATTTTTTTGGTCTTATCTAAAATATGGATCACAAAAAGATGTTGTTTTTTCCCCATCAATTTAATTAATTCATCATTTTCACCAATTGCTATTTTCCTATTCTTGGAAAAAAAGTTCACAAATTAATATATTTCAATGTACGTGATGTAACTTCAGAAACTTGCATCTGCTGAACATCAATTTTAGTGCCCTTGTAATCGTAGATTCGGGGGTATATAGTTTTTGCCCTGTGCATCCATCTGTCTGTTTGTCCGCAAAAAAAATCATTAATCATCAAGTCGTAATGTTATGACAGCATGCTTTAATAGTGACTACTTATACAGTTTGATGGAACCACGGACCTATACTATACGTCCCTGACAGAATGGCATCCAAACATCATAAACTTTTTAGAACCTGACCTTGTTATTGAAACATTTGGTCAATTGCTTGCATATTACAACTAATTAAGTGTTTTGGCAGCATTAATAATGACTGTTTAATGGGTTAGGTACATACTATGTAATAATAAGTAAACATGACAAACAGCTGGCAAAGTCCTGTCTCAATAAGTGTCAAACTTGGTATTTTCTTTTGAATAAATTTTAATTCTAGGATCAGTCTTCTTGTGTTCCTCTGTGTACTGTACAACCATAAGGGTGGTTGTACTAATAAAAATATTTCCTTAAACCTAGCAAATTGTTTATAGTCACAGTAATACCTTACATCTTTGATTTAGTAAAGACATAAAACATACAGGGTGTTAGTTCCTTGTTTTACTATTGTTATTCACAAAATATTTTCATTATGGCAAGTGAAATATTCTGAAATGGTGGCCAAAATTTTTTTTAGGTCCTCATTTAGTGACCTGAAAGTAAGTGTGACTTGGAACACTGTTGGGTAAAACATTTTTCATCTCTTGACCTCTCAAGAACATTGAAAAAAAAATGCACTACAAAGAGGATGCAGCGTATCAAATTTGAAAATCCATTATTCTAAATATTTACCTGATGAGTGATGAACTCCAAGGAAGATTGTCCATTGGGCATGGGATCACCATAGTCATATCTGATCTCCTTCCCTCTATCAATATCCCTTCTTGCAAAGAAAAAGCCTGGAGTAGTTGTTAAACACTTTTAACTTCTCATAACATGCATAAGATGGGGTTGTCTATAGCTGCATCATTAACCTACTTTCCAAGCCTTTGGAAGCTGTCAGATGCATCAATGCTTGTAAAATGATAATGAAAACCATAAATAAAAAGTTTAAAGTTACATATAAACATAATAACATATATGATGAAATATTAGGACTGCAGGAACAATACAGGTTTTATGCAACAATCACAATATAGTAGTCACAATATATGAATCACAATGTATTTTTCCAAAAATAATTTTTGTTTCATACAATTTGCAAGAGTAATAAAAATCCCTGCCACTGTATGATATTGTTCAATTATCGTACACATTTTAGAGTGCAAGAAAATTATGTTATTCTTTACTCTAAAAAATTGTCATCCTAGTGAGACATGACACTCTGCAATTTGTTGTAAAGATATAAAAATCCAAATAAAAAATATAACGCAGCAAGGTTAAGGATGCCCACAGGAAATAATACGCCTAAAAATATTCCGAGAAAATGAATATAGTGTTGATTTTTTTTTTACAGCATGAGTTTTGATTAATGGGAATTCTACTATTTGCATATGTAGGAGGGTTGTCCCAGAAATACGTGAACATTTTCAATATCTTTTGTTTCACTAATACTGTAAAGTTAAAAATAGGCATAGATCATGATCAACATTTTTGTGAATTTTTTCTGGAAATGTGCTTCTGATAAAATTAGTTTATTTAAGCATAAATTCGGCACAGTATTTAATTTTATTTTATTTACCAAGTAATGCATCTCAAATACGGCGTGTGTTGCTAAAAGATTGTGGAATTAATTCTTTCAATAGACAATTTCTCAATTCCGATAATAAACCTAACAGTTCACATTGTTTAACGATGGCCTTGGCTTAGGCTTATGACGTAAAGCTCAGGACTTTCAGTTTGTCTTCATTTCTTTTGGTCTACAAAATGTCTCTTCCAGCACTAATATCTCTTTCATCGTATGGGCAAGAGTCCTATCCCGTTTTAAAGACAGTGCTGCTTAATAATTTGTGCTCCAAATTATCACTAAACGTCACCATTTTTAACAATATCTAATTAAAAGTGTTCTGGCATATAACGTCATATATTTGTCATTAATGATATCAAATTAATGAATTTTCATACACAAGTATATCAGCTAGATCAAAGAGTATTTATGGAGGTAAAGTTTGTGACATTATATTTCCGTATAGCCTGGTAATAAAGAAAAATTCATTGACAATGCTACTTTTAAAAGTCAATAAACTGCAGTGTGCAGACCACCGATATTTAACACCCTTTAAATGCCGTTTTTACATATTAATGACATCACAAGCCTAAAATATTTTGTCATAATACTGAAAATATCATTTTCCAACAACTTGCAAAAAATTATTAGTTCTGGTCAAATAGTTTCTGAAATATACAAAAAGTTTGTGTTTTCTGGGACAACCCTCATATATATGAGGTCTTTGCCGAGTTCGGCCAAAGCAACTTTACTTACATCAGCTGTTTGTCAAGTGACATGTTTAAAATTACAAAAAATATGTATGGCTACAAAGATCATAAAGTACAACGATATACGGATATCTTTTCACTATGAAATTAATTTTGTTTTCTTTAAGACAAATTCCTTAACCTGAAAAGTGCTGGGAGCAACTTCCCCATGCCTGAGAATTATGTAAAATTTTTGATAAACTTCCTACATTGACATAATATGCATTGAAATAATGGTAAAATACGGAAAAAAGCAACAGCGCACAACCAGCTCCTGGCACTTTTCAAAGTAGTAGGGATGTTACTACCTTTGTATAATAAAGTGCCCCAGCATGATACACCCGTCAAATATTGTTCAATTATCACGAACAGTTTAGAGTGCAAGAAAATAAAGTCAACCTTGATACAAGGATTTCCAAGATTTTTCCATTTCTTACAATTTTTGTTTATACATTTCCTGTGGTGTAGGCATTATAACAAATATTACATTATAGATCCTCAACTGGTAGTGTTAGAGCTTGACAAATGCCCATCTGCACCCCCCCCCCCCCCCCACACACACACACACACACAGTGACACACACACAGATCTTTCATATTTGTGAGACATGATGCTCTGAAATTTACTAGTTGATATTTTCAAAAAATTAAATAAAAATATCATATTAAACAAAATCAATTTAGTCTTAACAACTTAATCTATACCAATTTAATTATAAAATAAAAGACTGGCCATCAAATGACATATGCTATAAACTGACCAGCAGTTCTTCTGTCTAATTCCCAAAGGATACAGATAAGAACTGCTTGATCAGAGATGCTCTAACAGAAATGATTGAGAACAGCTAGCCTTCCTACACTGAACTCATTAATTAATCTTTAACTGGATGCATGTCCACTCATTACTCCCAAGGGATGAATGGATCTGTGCTATCTGCTTTGTAGTGCAATTAAAATGAATATTTATGTCATTCTGAAATTAAATTTGAAAACAAAGATTTTTTTTTTTTCAATTTGTTACAAAGATTTATAAAAAGAAAAAAAAATTGTAATCTTGATGCAACATTTTTAATAAGGTTTCTGCTTGACTCTTAGATTTGTAGGGACTATCTATTAGTTTATTATACAATATCAAATTAGTTTATTATACAATTATTGTATCAAATTAGTTTTAATTACTTTTCACCAAATTCATTTTAAAAGTTAGGCTAGCCCACAAAAAACTATTTAATCCAACATGGCTGATTCCTCTGCCCAATTCCCAAGAGATATAGATAACACCTGCTTGATCAGAGATGCTCTACCAGTTAGCTCCTCACACTAAACTAATTTCTCGCTAATTTGACATGCAATTTTCTGTTATCAAAATTCTCCTTGACCAGTGCTTGATAATTACACCCATGGGAGAGGTGGAATTTCTCTTGTAACATTATATTTGTTATAGATTGCTGTAAAGTATATAATGAAAAAAATAAGTATTTCTTGATTTTAACATCTTTTTAATAAGGATACTGCAACACTTCTACATTTTTTGGGATTGTGTAATTTAATAGTAAAAAGACAGTTTTTTTTTTTAAAAATTTCACTTAAATTAAAGGTCACAGTGACCTTGAAATAGGTCACGACACACCTTCTACCTAAGATGCATAAACTGGCCAAGTTTGATGATTATAAGTCTAATAGTTTTCTAGTTATGAGCCGGACAGGATTTTTCCATATTTGGCCATAGCATCTTAATTAAAGGTCAGAACGACCTACTTTTAGTGCGTGACACACCTTCTACCAAAGAAGTATCAGCTGACAAAGTTTGATAATCCTAGGCCTAATAGTATTAAAGTTATGAGCCGGACACGAGAAAGGCTAACAGACAGACAGACAGACGGACATGAACGCCATAACATAATACGTTCCGTCTAAAGACGGGCGTATAAAAATTCATAAATTATAGTGAAGCAGATATCGTTGAACTTTTGAGATTTTCGAGGGGCTGTGCCTGTTATTCTAGATAGTTAATGTATAAATGTGCCTTACTGTGGCTTTATATGAGGTCTACACATTTTCAATTTAAGGCCTAAAAAAAAAATAAGTTTGTTTCCTGTAACCCGACCGACCCATTCAAATTATCCCCCGGCGGATTTTTTTTTCCTGCCAAATCTGCATTTGCTCTTTGGTTCGATCGATCAGCTGATTCCATTTATTCAAAAAATATTAATTGTAGCTTTATTTGAGATATAAAATATGTCATCCTAGTCAACATTTACCTTGAATATAAAGAGTAATCATTATTGTAACAACAATTTCCACCCACAACTTTTAGAATTTCGTTCTCTGCCGCTAAGCAGCCATTTTGGGTGTCCACTTTAAATATAACACCTGGTTAATTCAGTCTGGGGATGTTTGACCCTTTTATCCATAAGCAAAAAAAAAAAAAAAAAAAAAAATCCCGACCTACCGACCCTTGATTTTTTGGGAATGTTACAGGAAGCAAACAATTTTTTTTAGGCCTAATTAGACTATAAAATATTGATTAATACATTCAAAAATATGACTTAGTTTTGGTCAGATCACACTTATTTTAATTTGATATTTACAAGCTACAATAATAGCTTGATCTACGCCTCAAGTACAGAGAAACTGTCTGTCAAACTAGGGTGTGACGTCATCTTAGTCAGTGCAGGAAGGTCAAGATGGCTTAAATTCTACATTCAAATAGTGTTATTATGACATGATAAGTTACACATCAATTTATGTTTACAATATTTATCATGTTATGAGAAAAGACTGTATTTGAGTGTGTATGAAAAAGAAAACATTAGTATTTAGGATTTATTTGTTCAGTTTCATTGTGACGTCATAATCGATTTCCAGAAGCTCTGCATATAGGCTGATGTAAGTATGGGAGTCCTAAACCTAGCTGCGTATACAATATATATATATATTTTTATATAATTAGTTTTGATTACTTGTTAAATATACAATATCAAATTAGTTTTAATTATATTATATACTAAAAGATTAGTTTTATTTACTTTACAACAAATTTATCTTGAAAGTTAGACTAGACAAGAAAGTCGACTTTTGCACTCGGCGAGCAGAGTTTTGACACTGTTTACGGAAATAAAAGAAAATTAATAAATAAGACAAACATGTCATAGATAGTTGTGTAGATAAATTATCGTAGAGGACAATGGTAATAAACAGTTTGCCAGTGCATTTCCTCTGAAAGTGTAAATAAGTTCAATTTTGGGGAAGGGGGGGGGGGTACTCAATGTAATATGGATTTGGATACCTTGTGTTATCATCATACTATGGGTTGAAAAATTTATTACCAAAACAAGTGCCTGTAATACCAGCTGTTAAAAATCAGTATGGGCCACTACCATTTTAGAACAAGTAGCCTCTTCAGCGACCAGTTTTAAAAGCTGATATTTTTAACCGAACAGTTTTCTCTGGTGAGGGGAGGGACTAAGATTTTCCCAGAGGCTGATCGTGTATGGTGTTAATACCTATACACACACAGTATACACAGGAAGTCCTTGTTACCTGTGGGAACTTTTATACATATATTTCTAAAAGATGATAAATTTTTTAATTGTAAG